AGGTGTACATGAAGATGACCACCTAGGGTTTTTGTAGAAAAAATGCGTAGTATTAATGTTGTTAATGAACTAAGATGAGACATATTTTCATACCTAATAAAGTAATTAACAAATCACAATAAATAATTTATTGAATGAATATTAATGTTGAAATAGGATATGTTCCCTTCTAAAAATAACTTAGAGTTCAAAGAATGAGTATGAGTTCTAAAGAATTAACCATACGCACTTGTTCAAATTTACGAGATTAGTTTTATCAGTAGAATAAGTTAACCTTTAAAATCACAAACTTAAAAGCTTTGGCAATATTTACTTCTCACATCTATCATCTCGAATTTCTCTAATTTTTAATATTTTTTTATCGTCAAAATGGATTTCATGAAAGTAGAACAAACAAGCAAGATAATATACACACAGCTATTACAGATCCGATCGTAGGCCCTAAGAATAGACTTAGAATAAGTCACTAATACAAAGCAACCTGACTTGCTAGACATAAAACGTGCAAGAATATGCTAACATGATCGAATTAACATAAGTAATTCTTAACATAATATAGGGCAGCGGATTACCCAATCGGGTAGGTTCAGTCCACACTGAGTATGTCTGTGATTGATCAAATGGAGATGATATTTGGCTCTAGGGCTCAATGCTTTGGCCCAGTTTTCTGCTGACCGAAACTCAAAGGTGGCAGTTCGGGCTGGAATAAACAACAAAATGAGTGGGCAAGTATTAGTCAAGATGAGCAGCTTGGATAATCTTTCTATAGACCTCACCGCTATCCCTCTCGTTGCACTAGCCATTTACAGGAAGCTTTATCCAGGCGTTGCTGAAAAATACTCATTCTACTAGTAGATCTCCCTCTCGTTTCAGTTGTGGGTGGGTGCTAGCAGTACTTGTTTAGTTTTTCATTTTTCTACTGTTTTTGCCTCTTGCTGAATAATTAAATGGAGTGCTACTCTTCTGCTAAAAAAATGTTAACATAATATAGGAGAGGAGAAAATAGAGTTGTGCATTAACCAATAACTTGCTACATGTTCTTAACGAAAAATGACAAATTCATCCGTTCAGAGCCACCAAGAATTCCCATTAGCCTCTCCCCAACTAGTGGCTTCATTGATCAAGAAAATATACTAACAACATTAAAAGTTAATTTAACCAAAGTATCATCAAATTAACATGAAAAGAAAGAATTGAAATTAAAAATCTAAAGTTTTAGACTTCCAATTCTGAAAATCAATTAAGAGAAGTCTCTCCTCCAAATGTAGCAATGCCTATAAAAATTCATTAAAATTCAAAAAACTCCTACCACACCTACTCGAACTAAAATAAAAACAAATACCATTAAAGGAAAAATAACACGAAGATAGAAACTTTCCCCAAAACGCTTCTTCGCTCGGAGGTGGTTCCGGAGGCACACGATCTGCAGTAGTATGGGAGAAGACATTTTGACCCCTGAAAAATTCATCTGAAACTCCATTCTTCTTGCGCTCGCCAATTCGCTCTCACCAATTTGCTTCTTGAGATTTGTCATTGATATCTCTATCATGTTGCTTCTGTACCTAATCGCCTGCAAAATTCCTGGATCAGCCCGTACAAGAAAGGTTTCCAGACGGGTACGAAACACTGGTGTGAATCAGAGCCTTCCTCAGATCCAAATGTTCGAGAATTCATTGGATCAAACCGTCCAAGAAGAATTTCCACTACAAGAAATCACACATTTTGTGACAAAATATTGTGTGACACACAAAAAGTTGTCATTTTTTGTTCGGTAATAGTTACAAAACTAAAATTCGTCACTATAAAAGTATTTTTTATGACAATATCATTGTTTGTCACTTTAGTTCTCACTTATCGTCACTTATTGATACAAAATGTGACGATTAAATCAAATTTGTCACTCAAAGTTTTAGCGCCAAAAATTGATCAAAAATTTTGGTGGGAAATCTTTTGATGACATTTTTTATAACAATTAATGACTATAAATTTCGTCACATAATTTTTAAATACAATGACAAAGTCATATTTTGTCATTAATTTTCATACAAAATAATGACAATATTATTTCGTCATTTTCTCTCTCTTTTTGTGACGAAGAATTTAAATGCGTCATAATTTTACTTTTTAGCACACAACACTCTATTTTGTAACAAAGTGTGAAAAAAATCAATGACAAATTAACATATAATGAATGACCTTGTGACCTCATATTTGTAATGATAAAGTACAAAGTTTATAAATTTCATAACATTATACGGAGTACTAATTAAAATTATGATACAATTTTATGAAATTGACAATTTTTTTTGGGATGACGGTTGTATGACATAAGACCACACCAAGATATAAATATTATTGATTTATGATTTAAGATTTTTTCTTTTGGACTAAAATTTGGAGGTCTGATTTGGTCTAGTCTGAACTGATCTGGTCTGATAAACGTCTGATCTCTGTATATTTTATAACTATAAAGGTCTGATCTGGTCTGGTTGACGGAAACCGTCCAATAGAAACCATACTTAACAATATCGATAGATAGTAATGACACTAACTCAAAAAATTTAATTTAATTTCTTCTTATTTCTTCTTTGATATAAGGGCGCCGTTGATGAGTGGGATATCGGTAAATGGCGCAGCGGATAGACGGGCACAATCTTCTTCGCCCCTGCTACATCTTTGATGTCAACTTTTCCGCTCCTCCGTTTGCGAACTGCTATGCCGTACCTCTTTCTTGTAAAACCAATCTGAGAAGCTGGGTTCGAATGGAAGTCGTGGTTAGAAAAACAGGCCACGAGGCGATGGTCAAGAGCTGAAACACCATAAGAGTGCTTCATCTACGTCGTCGCTCTTACGGTTCTTTCTACTTCTTAGCTTCACATATTCTTCTGTAGGAAGTTCCAGTGAAGGCATGTCAGTGATAGAGAGTGTGCGACAGCTCCAGCAAGGTCGACTCTTATCTGTAACATTTATAGTTGCGTTTTGCTCTTTCTTTTAATATAATTGTGTTTATAATTCTTCAGTTTGGTCGTCATTGATTGTATTGTGAAGTTCTGTTGGATGGGTTCATTGTTTCATGTTTTCAGTCGCTTTAAATGTCTAATTTTCTACATTTAACAGTTTAGTATCTATTGATTAACTGTGAGGTAAACTGTGATGACAAAGTGCTTATTTAACTTTTATTCTACTATTGGTACTTCTGATTTATCTTCTATTTCACTTTTTTTTATTTTCAAATTTCATACGTAGTACTCAGTATTAACTGAATTATTCCTACATTTCAGAGACATACGTGAGGATTTGCTTGTTGTGGGAGACTGGAGAGTTTGACTTCAGTAAAGATTTTGATTAAACATACCTTTGATGAGGTTTTCAAAGTTCTGGTGATGAAGGCATGGTTATTCAGCACAAGGTTTTTGAAAGGCAAAATCTTTAGTGAAAGGACTATACTAATCAACCTAGTATACTAATCCGTTTGGTAGAAAACACCTCCACATCTATATATCAACTGATTTAATTCAAAAACTCAATTTTGTAAAACTTTAAATATCTAATTTTCTACAATTAACAGTTTAGTATCTATTGATTAACTGATATTAATTAATCAATTTTAAATTGAATAGTATATATATGTATATGTATATCTAAAAGTCGAGTTAATGTCACTATATTAACTAAAACTTTAGTATCTATATACATTGTCTAATCAGTTTACTATCTATATAGTATATATTAACTAACAGTTTAGCATCTATATACTAACTGATATTAACTAATAAGTTATGATAGGGGGTGTCTTCCAGTTTACTTGGGATTTTCTCATTGGATTACTCGTTTCACGAAAGCCTATTTTTGAGTTATTAATTGGGTTTTGTGTACCTAGCTACTTTATTATTCTTTTACAAAGCAGGGACTTGTGTGACTGTAGATGAATCCCTATTTCATCAAATATGTTCTTATAAGAGCATATTTTACTTTCTTTACTATTTCTGTAAAGGCACTCCTTTTTATACTTTCTGCTGTTCACTTACTTAGATTTATAGTGCACCTTTGTTGGAAAGTTTAGTTTCGAAGTCTTTTGAGAGACATTACTTAGGTTCTACAATTTGATGTCTTATTTGCCAATTTGCATCTGTTATTTGGGGCATCATAGTATCATTGGGCTTGTTGATTTCTTGTAGTTGACACTACATTATTCTGGAGCTGCTGCTGGAAGGATGACATAATTTTAATAATGTTGTTTCATGGAGTCAGGAAGAGAAGCAGGGGGTTTGGTGTGGGTTTTCCGAGACTCAATATTTGTATCTGCAAGAGCTATTCCTTTGTAAGATGTTCCACCCGAGTGTAGCAGATATTCTTATAGCTAGTACTTGAAACTTTTAGCTAGATCAAGATTGGAGATGGTATTGATGTTGAATCATGTGCAGTTCAAGTTTTGAAGGTATAAGGGAGAGAAAACGCATTTATCGTGATGTTGAATCGCTTCGTTCAACATACTGGTGGACGATGTGCAGGGCATGAGAGCTCAGTTTGTTAGCATTGGTGGAAGATGAAGCCTCAGTTTGTTAGTATTTCTTTCAATCATAGTAAGAGGGCTGTTAACTGTTTTAGTTAGATTAGCAGATTCAACCTCCGAATTGTATTGTGTATATTGTAGTTCATGATATTATTAATGATAATTCAGTACAAAGCTGTGACAAATGATTAGTAATCTTATCTTTATTGAATGAGGACAAATGTTTATAATTGTCATTTTATATACACTTTCGTATCCTTTTCTTTTTTATGACACTTTATGTGTGATCATAACTACTTTACAATGACGAACTAAGTAACTTGATTATGACAACTTTGGTGTCACCGCTAGTATGAGTATAATGTGCAGCGTCACTAAAAGTTATACTTTATTGACAAATTGAAGATTCGTCATTTATTATCACTAGTATAGATGACAAAATTCATAATTACATGACAAAATTATTGATAAAAAATGACACATTCATCGTCGCTGAAAGTTATCAATAATGGTGACAAAGAACAAAAGTGTCACAAAAAATGATTATATAGTGACGAATCCCAATATTGTCATATATACCTTTTGCCACGGAGCTACGGTGACGATCACTATGACGAAAATAAATCGTCATATAAGAGTTTTAGTGACAAAAAATGAAGCTTTTATGACAATTTTTTTCGTCATGTTTTATCAGATTTCTTGTAGTGTTCCAATCTGACGCGAACCCCAATCCTATATGCGTACTTACAGTGTTGCTGCACCTTGATATTAAGTAAGTAATCAGCCATGTTCTTCCGAACTTCTTATTAGTAGCCAAAAGCATATTGCCGCCGATAAGAGGCGCAACCCAAAACAAACCCTAGCCGCCGATTGAGATCGTGCGAGATCTTCCATCCTAGTGGCGATAATCTTTGACCTTAGGTATTCACGTATTTCTTCTTTCCAAAAGGACGGTTAGATCTCTCAAAGAGAAAGACTATACTAGAAAATCTCTTCACAGAAAAATAAACTGGTAATACTGAATCTACAAAAACTTTGTAATTTTTAATCTTAACTACTTACTAATGACTAAATTGCCTTTTCCCTAATTCACCTGTCTTTCCATGCGTCACTTTTGGGAATAGCCTGGTAGTGTAGATGGCCTATGAAGGCAATTAACTTCCACCAATCGGATAAAATATATAATAAACATACCATATGAATCCATACGTATTTTACTCAAAAGATCATACCGCTAAACTCAAGTCTAATGAAGCAGGACAACTGAAGCAAAGTGTTTTAATTGCCTAACAATATTTAAAATGTGTAACTGCGTAAGAAACTATTATGCCATATTTGTGAGTTACTACCTCCGGTCCACTAAGATTGAGACGAGAGAAAGTGGCACGATTATTAAGAAAAGTGAGTTTGTATGGTTGATATTAAATTGATAAAGTAAGAATAAAGTAAGAATGGTTTAGAGTCACACAATCTTTACCAAATTTGTATGAGACAATCTTAGTGGAACTTCTCAAAAAGATAAAATGGGACAATCTTAGTGGGACAGAGGGAGTATACTTTCGAGTTTAGTGCTCCACACATTCCAAGACTCCAAAGAGAAGAGAGTTTAGTGCTCAAACACATTCCAAGATTCCAAAGAGAAGAGAGTATTCCGACAGCTTAGCAAACTCCATCATGACCATATAGTAGTATCAGGTTATGGTGTAGTAATTCCGTTCTATTTCTAATTTTTTTTTATCGTCAAAATAGATGGCTTAAATTAATATCATAGCATTCAGATAGGGAGAAGATGGGGGGTAAAACGACAAAATGATCATAGACAATCGTCAACTCTCGAACCCGACTTAGAGTTAATCACCTCCAAAAAAGCAATTTAACTCGCTGATCCTATAATGGGCATAAATGAGCCAACGACGATTAAAGCAGACCTCTCATCACTCAATCCTAATGCAAGGGTCTTAGAACAATAATAGTAACTAACAGAAAAATAAACTGTCTGATCATGAAAAATAAATAGCAAGCAAACAGTAAAATTTAAATAGAGATAATTGGGTATATATACATTTTTTAATACATACATTTAAGTTTATGTTATATATTTACAAAAATTAAGTGCATAGCCCTTTAAATTATCCTAGAAGCTTATGAGTTATATGAATATCGGATATCAACACCGAAATCCATGGATTTGATGTTATCTAAATACAGTTTTAATTATCAAATACGATCGAGTCTTGTATTTGACTCAACTGTATTTTTATATTAATTGCTAAAGTGCTATATTCTTTAAAAAATAATAATATAGGTTATTAACTAAAAGTAACCTATTTGTTTAAGCTATATAGCAATTTCTCCCATTAAAATACTGCCTCCAAACCGTAAACTCTTCTGCACTCCATGGCGGCGGTTCAGGAGGGGGACGGTCCAACAGTACTAAAGCATCTTCCGCTCCATGCATCCGGTCCAGATCTGTTCCAGGCTCTAGCCCCACGCTTCGTCCATGACCTTCTGATCTCAATCATGAATGACATCCTCGAACCTCTCCACGTTTTGCTAGGGATACACAACTTTTGGCCGCCATATAGGCGTTGCAGTCTGCCAAAGAAAAGAGCCTCACAAAAGCGGGACGAACGCCGCACAAGAAAGCCTCACTTCGTCGAAGACGAAAGCGGATAAAAGTTTTACAATCCCTAACCCCAGGGGAGACGGTCTAGAGAGACGCTCTCGCCTAGACAGAAGCTTTTCCAGTTTGGTCAATTGAAAAACTGATGAAATTGGAGACTCCGTTGTATTTCTATTTTTTTTTTTTTGAGCAGCAAACAATAAATTGGCATTAATTAAATCAAAGTTTAGTACATCAACAATTCTGCTAGGAGGGGAAAATGACTAAACACAGCAATCAGACATAGAACTAACTTCTCGTGCTATCGCATGAGCGGCCCTGTTCGCAGATCGTCTAATATGATGGAAATCAATACCCGTAAAGCTAGAGCTTAACTCTCTAATATCCTCCGCCAAAAGACCAAAAGAAGAGACGTTTGAGCCTAAACGAATTTCCGAAATGGCTAGTAATGAATCAGACTCCACATCCACATAATTCCAATCCTGATCCTTTAACCAACTTAGAGCTTCCCTGATACCCATTAATTCTGCCTCCAAAGGTGAAAAGTTGCCCTCCCAATACCTGGCTGCCCCAGCCAGAAAATCCCCATGATCATTTCTTAAAATCCACCCACCCACACATCCCTCATCATTGAAGCCAGCATCAACGTTTAATTTGCACCGACCCTCAGTCGGTCGTTTCCATGTCAATTTTGAACTCTGCTCTTGAATACATAAAGCCTTTCCTTGATCTTTTTCCTGAAGCCAAGCGTTGACAAAAGATTCTGCTTTTCCCAAGAATTGATGAGCTTCCAGCTTCTTCCCCTTCCAAATTCTCTCATTCCTTTCACACCAAATGCTCCAACAAACCCAAGCTATCTTCTGTAGCTCCTCGTTCCTCTTCACCTGAAATAGCCGCTGCACCCATTCAATAAAAGAGCTAGCCGGCAACCCCACAGAGGGCCAACCTACTGAACTCCAGCATGCTCTAGCCACCGAACACTGAACAAATAAGTGTAACAACGATTCCTCACTGCTCCCACATAACCCACACTTCACCGAGCATTCAACCTTCTGCCTACTTAGATTATCCGTAGTTGGGAGAAAATTGTTACAAGCTTGCCAGAAGAACGATTTGATCTTGGGGGGTAGCTGCCAATTCCACATCCCCGTCCAACCCTTCCATCCGGTTGCCTGACATTCACCTGTAATTCTTCGATAGCAGCTTCTCACTAAAAATCTGCCTCCCGATTCCCACCTCCAAATCAACCTGTCAGGTACCATCCTTCTACTCACTGGGATGCTTTGAATAAGCTTAGAATCTCTGTCATTAAAAAGGTCGTGTAAAATATCAATATCCCAAACCTGATGCGGTTCATATAGCAACCCATTGACCAAGGAATTTTCAAGACCAATGGCTGGATCAGTAGTCATTTTAGGATTATCTCTGTCTGGTTACCATGAATCCTGCCAGATTTTTATGGACTTACCATCACCAACTCTCCAAATGTGTCCTTCTCTGATGATTTCCTGAGTCTCAAACAGGCTCCTCCACACGAAGGATGGGTTACTACCCAGATGAGCTGAAAGAAAATTACCCTTTGGATAATATCTGGCTTTGAAAACTCTCCCCACCAAAGTCTCTGGTTCCGTAAATAGCCTTCATGCTTGCTTGGACAGCATTGCTAGGTTGAAATGACGAAGTTTCCTAAAACCCATTCCACCTAGTTTCTTAGGTTTGCACAGAGAATCCCAATCACTCCACCTAATCCCTTTTCCGTCATTCCCGTTCCACCAATACCAATTCATTAGGACCTCAATCTCCCGGCACAGATCAATTGGCAACATATCCCTTTTCCGTCATTCCCGTTCCACCAATACCCGATCGTACGCCTTGCTCATATCTAACTTCAAAGCCACATATCCCAGCTTGCCCTGCCGCTTCCTCTTTAGATAGTGTTGAGACTCGAACGCCAACATGATATTATCAACTATCGACCTTCCCGGGATGAAGGCACTCTGTTGCTCCGAAACACAGAACTGCATAAGATTCTTCATTCGGTTTGCCAACACTTTGGAAAAGATTTTGTACACCACATTGCATAGGGAGATGGGCCTCCAGTCACCAAGCACTTCCGGTTGATCCTTCTTGGGAATTAATACAATATGAGCGTGATTTACCGCCTCTGGGAGCTTACCTGTCTCAAACGCTACTATGCAAAAATCAATTACATCCAGACCAATTAGGTCCCAAAAATGTTGAAAAAAACCAGGACTCATCCCGTCTGGGCCTGGAGACTTATCAGGGTACATAGAGAATATAGTTGCCTTGACTTCATCGCTTCTAATAGACCTCAACAGATCATTATGATGGTGAACCCCCAGTCTCCTCTCAATGTTGCTAAGTATGATATCATTATCCCCCTGAACTGACATGAACAGATTAGTGAAGTAATCACCTACCAGTTTTCCAAGCTCACCTCGGTCCTGCTCCCAGTCACCCCCTTCCAGCTTCAACCTGACCAGTTTATTCTTCCTCCTTCGTTGTTTAACTGCATTGTGAAAATACTTGGTGTTCAAGTCCCCGCCTCTCAGCCAGAACTCTTTTGCGCGTTGACGCCAGAATAAATTTTCTTTTTCCAATAAAGCAAGATATTCACTCCTCACTCTCCAGAATTCAGCCACTCCCCATGTTTCAACACGGCTTCTCAAGGAATTAAGCTTCTTCTTGAAGTATGCTATCCTTTTGCCATATGTTCCGTATCTGCCTCTTCCCCATTCTTCCACCATTCGCCCACAAGTTGCAATTTGTCTCATAACACCATGTCCCCGTCCTAGTTGCCACCCTCTGCCAACTACCTCACGACAATCATTTTCTCTCAACCAAGTATTCTCAAACTTGAATCTACGACATCTATTAACCCCTGTTGTTGAGACCAAGCGGATGAAAAGAGCCAAATGGTCACTAAGAGATCCCTCCAATGACTCGGCTATAGCTGCCCCGAATCTGTCAAGCCAACTATCAGACGTCAAGATTCTATCGAGCTTCTCCTCCACCCAATTCGGGGAACCCCTCCATCTCTCTCAGGTGAATTGGTAGCCTTCGAAGGAGAAGTTATGGAGCCCACTAGCCCAAATCGCCTCCCGAAATCCTCTTAACAACCATGCCGGGTGAGGGACTCTTCCACGTTTTTCGGAAGCATAAAGTAGGTCGTTGAAATCCCCCATTACTAACCAGGGAAGTTGAGATCGCGCACTAAGTGAACAAAGAAGACTCCAAGACTCACGTCTCCTTTATCGCTCCGGAAAACCATAAAAACCTGTAAAACGCCACAAGGAATCACCCATTTCCAATCTAATCCAAGCATCAATAAAATTTTGTGAAGCATCCTGAATCTGGACCTCCACTCCAGCCTCCCATAGGAGCGCCAGACCTCCTCTATGGCCAACACTATCCACAACAAAACAATCTTGCATGCCCACCTTCCTTTTGATCTCGTCAATCTTGTTGCTATTCACGAAAGTTTCCATTAAAAAAACCAAACTCGGCCTCTTAGAGTGGACCAAATCCACCAAAACTTGAACTGCCAAAGGGTTGCCAAGCCCTCGGAAGTTCCAACTTAAACAACTCATGGTTCCAGGCGGGCCTGAAAACCAGGACCCGCCTCCAATCCGTTTTTTGACCGAGAAACTTCAGAACCTTCAAGCAAAGTAACACATCCCTCCCCCACATCACCGCAAGCCTTCCTTTTTTTCAGTGAACTTTCCCCTCCCATTACCCTCCCTTTCTGCTAGATAGCAATGCTTAGATCATCTTCCCTTCCCGGGGCTGAACTCACCTCTCCCCTTCCTGTAACTCCTTGATTTAGGGCTTTTTCATATGACCCCGTAGAGTCTCCCCCCTTTTCACTAACACCAGCCCCCTCCTTTGATTGACCCCAGAAATGTCCCTCGCTATCAACCAGCCACTTGCTTCCTCTATTGGCTCCGCTTCTTCTTCCGCCAGCCTTTAACCAGACTCCAAAGGGTTTTAGTTGATCAGCTGTGAACCCCTCAAACCACTTTGGACAGAGTCGGTCCACATGGCCCATCTTTCCACAAATAAAACAGAAATGCGGTAATCTCTCATACTTGAGATATGCCCAAACATCTTCAGCCCCCTTTTTGAGTTTCAATCTCCCTTTTAGAGAGTCACCCACGTCTAAACTCACCCTGATTCTCATAAACTCCTTCCTCCCACCTTTGAAATTATTTTCATCTGCCTGCACAAATCTTCCAACTGCATTGCCAATGATCTGGGCCATCCTCTCAGTAAAAAAAGTCATCGGTAGATTGTATGCTTGTAGCCAAAAATTTTCATGTGACAAGGGTACTGACAGAGGATTCTCCAGAGGTTCTAATTTTCGTAAAATCACTAAATTATTCTCAAAAGACCATGGCCCATCCTCTAAGACCCTTCTGAAATCAACTTCATGGAAAAATTGAAATATGTAGCGCCGGTCACCCACCTCCCGAATGTTAACCCCCCTTCCCGGTCTCCAAATGTCCGCAATAGTATCCCTGAAATAAGGAAACCGAACCTGTTTTTCAGTAAGAATACGTCCCACTAAAGCCAGCGAAGAAACATATGGCGGCTCTTCCAATACTGCTTCCCCCACGTCAACTCCTGTATCCTCGTCCTCCAAAGATAAACGTGCGTACAGATCTTCCATGGATTCTGACATGGCTCTGGGACCTTGGTATTAAGCGTAACAAAGTTTAGTGAATAAAAGATGATGTGCGTACTGACAAACCCTAGAACCCTAGGGAAGAAAACAAAATCCACCATATTTCTATTTAAATAACCAAATTAGCGTAATTTTTATTTATGAATTCGTCAACCTGCATATGTCCAGATTAGGTTTTCTAAATATGAAAGGTTCAACTTTTATTGTTTTTAGCTTTTAATCACACATGTTACGTCATCTTTCGTTGTGCTTGACTTTGTCAATTGATTCTTTAAATTTTTGCTTTCAATTTTAAATTTTGAAAAGAGTGTTAGCGTTGATTTACGTCAGATTTTACTCTAAAAATTACATCTTAAATTATTGAAGAGGCTGCGGGTGTTAAATTACTCATCAAGTCATTGTGCTATCATTAAATTAGTTTATTACATGCGTATGTAGTATATAACGCATTTTAAACTTGCAAAACGTTAAAAACACCTTTGTATTTGTATTCATCTTACGAACATAAAAATGTACTTCAATTCTTGTTGTAAAATTTAAGAAATGACAAATTGTTCATCCTTATCACTAGGACATCAAGCTTTTTCTGATCCTTGTAATGATCCTTGTAACTTAGTTAGAACAGGTGATTCAATTTGCTATTGCCACCAAATCTGTAGACTCATCAATTAAGTGATTCATCATCAAGCTCAACCAGTATAAATAGCTAGTGGCTTGATGAAGTCTTGTAAATTCATTCAGAAAACCTTTATATTAAGAAGAAGTAACTTAGAGCTTATTAATAATATATCTATCTCTTAAATCTAGTCTTCATCTTCTTCATTTCATAGCACGTTATCTACACGAATCTGCTCAAATCTCTCCAAGAAATCATCTTAAATCTATATCTTCTTTAATTTTCTCTCATTCACTAAAATATAATAAGTGCGTAAGTATACTACTCCGTAAATGATTTAATTTCCCAAATAAAACTTACGTACTATTTTTTCCATAATAGAAGAAATAAAAGTTTACCTCTGGCCTGTTAAGTCTTCTGATCTCTTCAATTCTGAACTCTGATAATTAGGCTCTTCAATTCGTAGAACAAAAGCAGAAACAAATTATGATTTCAGCAAGAATATAATAGTGCTACGCAATAGGGAGTACAACCTCCGTCCCAATTTGATTTGCAAATTTTACTTTTCTTGGTCAAACAGTTTCATTTTATTTGCTTAATTAGAATGTCAATTTTTAATTATATTCTAATTAATTTTTTTTAATTATTTTAATGTATTTTCTGAATATATAAATTTTAATTATAAAAAATTGAATTAATTATCGATAGTGAAAATTGACTTTTATTATTAGTTGACCAAAAATGTTGACTTTGCAAAACAATTTGAAAGAGAGTATAAAATAAAGAAGAAAGATGATTGATAGGAGAACACTTTAGATTGCCCGCAGACATATAAAATAGTCAAAAATGATCTTTGTACCCACTCTTATACCCACTTTTGTACACACCTATGTTTGTGAAGTGTTTTTTTTTCTGTGAACCCCAGCTCACAGACAATATTTTGCACAGACAAAATATTATCTGTGAAACCGGGTTCACAGACAAAAAAAACCTCCACAAACATGGTGGGTATAAGGTGGATCAATAGTTCTTGGTGTACACCCTGGGTTACACCCTGGGGTACACCCATTTATTTTCCCTTCTCACATACAAAAAACACACAAATACAGACACTTTCATTGAAAGTGTCGGTGTGAGTAAAATTAGTTTCTAGATCTGTCAGACTGACTGCATGGAAACCAATGTCGGTGTACACAGACATTAGTTGTCTGTGTAAATAAAAAAGTGTCGGTGTGAAAAATTAATTGGAAAACAAGCGTCGGTGTACACAGACGTTAGTCATCTGTGTAGACAAAAAAGTGTCGGTGTGAAAAAATTAGTTAGAAAACAAGTGTCGGTGTACACAGACGTTAGTTGTTTTGTATAAAAAAAATTGTTTGTATATATACAATTTTCGTCTGTGTACACAGACACTAGCAAACCAGTGTCGGTGTGGATAAAACGTAAAAAGTGAGAAGGAAAGAAAAAGAAGAAGATGGTCATGAAGATAAGAGGATGATTAGGGTGAATAAAACCTAAAAAAGAGAAGGAAAGAAGAAGAATAAGAAGAAGATGAAGGAGAAAGGAAGAAAGAAAGAAGAACAAGATGTTGAAGAAGAAGAAAAGGAAAGAAGAAAGAGAGGAGGGAGGGGGGTCCGTATGATTCAAATGGGAGAGGAGTGGAGAGAAGAGAATGGAGAGAGAAAAGTTGAAAGGGGAGAAAAAAGAAAGGGGGGTTATATAGGTGTACACCAAGGTGTAACCCAAGATGTACCAAAAGAAATTTTCAAGGTGGATATAAAAGTGGATACATCAAACATTGTTGTAAAATAGTAGACATGTGTCGGTGTCACTCATGCACCTCTCCCTTTTGTCTCTTTGTTTGGAAACGGTCATAATACATTGAAATACTACAAAAAAATAAAATAAAAACAAAGTAGATAAACATTTGCTCAGACCTTAAACAGTACGCATGGACTTAAGTGTGCATCTCTATTAAATTATACGTAGTACGTAACTATAAAACACTCTGTATATATGTATGTGAATAAACTAACTTTACTAATTGTGTATATTTAAATTTTATAATATTGAACCAAATGAATACATAAAATCAATTAAAGGGTAATAGTGAGCACATGATTGTTTAATTTACATACATAGTACGGTACATATAATTACAATTTACAAATACCTTCTTGCAAAAAAATGATTACAAATACCTTAGTGCTTTACATATTTATATATATTTAAATAATAGAATAAAAGTTATTATCAAATTTCTAAGTTAACGCACGATTCATTTAGTTGGTTTGAATTTATACATTTAACAAATAATGTTCGTATACACGGCGACGGACTCATGATTTTTTATGTGCAGGGGCAAAAAATATTTTGAAGCAAAATTTTATTACCACAAAATTAAGCTTAACTTTATATAAACATAAAAATAATCACCAAATTTGAACAAAATCATACACCAATGTAGTACTAGAAATAATACTAGATACTTCGTATAAAGTCAACATTGTGTATTTGTGTACCTTGACAATGTAAGTACACTTCAAAAACACAAAATATAAGCATGTAAATTGTAGCTTGTTCAACAACTTTGGGAGGAGAGGAGGAGCCGCTGCTCGATCTTTGCGGAAGTCACAAGGTTAATTTGTTAAATGTAAAAACCAATTTTATACGGAGTATTTTAATTTAGTGGAGTTAGGGACCCATCTATTAGTCAACACAAGTCTATACGGATAGATTATAAATATGGGCTAAGAGTATGGGCTAAAATACGGATAGTGTGCACATTCCTTATTTTAATAATTGATTGGAGTACTGCTATGATCCAAATAACATCCAAATTAAAGTTATGTGGACAAAAAGTCACTGATGCTCATATGTTGGAGAAAACTTTTTGGGAAAACTGTCAAATAAGTCCTCCTACTATACTTAAAAAGTCAATTGAGTCTCCCTACTATAAAATCATCCAATTACATCCTCTAACTATAAAAAAAAGTTCAATTTTACTTTCTAGCCGGTTGATGATAATTAATCCCGGTAGCTGCTGATCTGGACATCTACATGACACTAACTTTATTTTTCTTTTTGTTTTTTCATTTTTTTCTTTTCATTTTTCCGTTCCCTTCTCCCTGTTAGCCTGGTTGTGCGGTTGTACCACCTCCTTACTCCCTAGCTCCATGTTTCCCGGCAAGTTCGCCGTCCTTGTCAACAATCACCACCCACCCCCAATTTCATTAATTTTATCCCTTTTCTTTGCTTCCCCTTCTCCCTTAGTGGAGACATGGACTGTGAGGTTGGGCTTTGAACCCTTTGAAGAGAATGATAAAAGAAGCTTGAGCGATGTAAATATGATGGTGTTTCCTGGAAGTGTGTGGTTAAAGAAGCCACTCTACCTAACAGGCTCCCAAGACGCGCAAGCGTAAAGGTGAGACATTTTCTATCTTTGCAGGACATTTTCTTTAACACAATTCTCTGCTGGGAAAGCATTGTTGTATGTTAAAACATTTGCCCCACTAAGTTAAGTGATGTCAGTCTAATCACAGATTCCATGAGTTTATTAACCGGACAATAAAATGCTTGAAACTAGGGCTGGGCACGGGCCGGGTCGGGGCGGGTAATGCAAAATAAAATGGAACCGCCGGTTCCATTGTACGGTTCGGTCCGGTTCGGGTATTACAATTTTCAAAATAGGAACCGGAAATTACCCGGCCCGTTTGAAACGGGTGGGTCCGGTCCGGGTTTTACGGTTTCTATTCTCATGTCTTGAAATTAGTAAACACTCACGAAGTTCCAAAAATCAATAATCAATAATATAGGACATTAGCAAGTTTCAAAATAACAACATAGTGGTGCACATACAACACAAGCGAAACGTCCAATACTCCATAATTTATTGTATATAAGTTTCAAACAATTAAAGATATTTCAAAAATATGCAACATAGCCAAAATACATATTTTCTAACATTTGTATTTAAACATGTTGTCTAACATCACATATTAAAGCGATTGCTTTTTTTTATATTAAATTTTCAGTACTAGCCAAAGTTGACACATACATGGTGGGTGGTAAACACAATTTATATATTTTAATAACAATATAATAAAAATTATATAACAAAATCATCTTTAACAAATAATTAAATTCCATAGAAAGGAATAATTCAATAACAATAAAAAGTAATAAGATATTTATGAAACATTTAATCAATAATTTGAAAACAAAAGGATGTTAATGCAACTCAATTTAAAATCCTACTTCTAGCAAAGGAAACAAAACTATTTCAAAACCGATTATCACAAAACTACTAATAAATTAATATACAATAGATATAACGGGCCGGGCCGGGTACCCATTATTTTTTAATTTTGGAACCGGTCCGGTTCCTTAAAAAAAATTACCCGACCCTACCCGGACCATTTTATGGCGACAAAAAATGGAACCGGCCCGTTTTGAACCCGAACCGCCATTACCCGGACCGGACCGCGGTTCCAAGACCCGTTTGCCCACCCCTACTTGAAACAGATGCTGAAATTGAACTAAAGGATGTGATTGAGAGAGCTTACAAATTAAACCAGAAGCTGGGGAGAATCTTATGTTGGTGAAAGACGAAAGTTATGGCTGCCCCATCCATGTTGAATGACCAAATCACTCAATCGACTTGTCACTGACCGGCCGGCCAGTTGTAGGAATCAAAGTCTTCGATTCAAACTGAGGGCCTATCGGGCTTTTCCGCCATACAAGGCGGATCGGAGGATCTAAGAGGGAATTGAAGCGTCCCGCGCCCGGCGGCCGCTTCTGGTCCGGCTAACTACCTTAGCTAGTAGTGTACTATTAGCAGTACTTATGGGATAAACTAGCTAGCATGGTATGTAATCACTAATGGAGGTGATTATATTTTTCCCATTTTTGGAAGAGAATGTGTTTTTATATCTCAAAGATTACAATAACAAAGATGACTATTATATAATTTATATCTCAAGTTTACGAGTCTAACAGATTAACTAAGAAGGCTGAAAGAATCACAACACTACAAAATTTTGTGAAACTTAAAAACTTGGTAAATTATATGAACAGTTTTTTCCTTCGTTATAGGTCCAAAATAATTGAAACAATCTAAGGAAACACTTATAAGATTTTTTGAAGAAATTACCTAATAATACAAAATATGAAAAATACACTACAAAAAAACACGCGCGTAGTCACGGAGGTAGTCACGGACGCCAGTTCAAAAATTCCGTGACTAAATGAGTTAGTCACGGTCGCTGGCCGTGACTAATACCGTGACTTAATGGGCGTGACTAAAATGAAGTCACCGCCGCATAACCGTGACTAAATGTAGTCACGGGTTAGTCACGGTCAAGGACCATGACTATTGTCATGCCAGAAACCCCACTCCGACATGTTAGTCACGGCTTCTGACCGTGACTATAAATTTTTTTTTAAAAATAAATATTAGTCACGGCTGGGGACCGTGACTAATGTTTCAAATTTTCAAAATTTTCAAAAGACCGCCCGCCGTTGTAATATAAATTTTTGAAATTAGTCACGGCTGTCGACCGTGACTAATTTTTTTTTTAAAAAAAATGTTTTTAATTAAAAACAAATAATAATTTCGGATTAACTGTAGTCACGGATAAGGCCGTGACTACTATTTTTGTTTTTTAAAAAAAAAATTCCAGTTTTCGTTTTTTAAAAATTACTTTTTTTATACGTATTTTTACAAATTAAATTTAAAAATGTTTTTTGAAAATTGATTTATTGAAAATATTATTCTAATTTTATAAAGAAAAATTACATTTTAAAGAGTAAAGACATACAACAAACTTAATAAATATTGTGACAAACTTTTAAATGTTTTGACATACAACAAAGTATAAATGTATGATGATTACATGTCCCTTCGTGGGACTCCATTATGAAAAAAATTAGGATTTTCTTCTTCTTCATCATCATCATCAACAAGAAACTCATCTGGGTTCACGGGGGGGTCTTCGGGGTCAGGTCGGGTTCCTCCTCGGGGTGCTCCTCGGGGTCCTCCTCGGGGTGCTCCTCGGGCTCCATGGCTTGGTGTGCCACTACCTCCTCCGGATGACCTCGCAAAATCAAAGGACATAGATCCAAAATTCGGAGAGATCATAGGCATGCCACCGTATCCGGAGTTGGGGAAAAATCCCATACCGCCCATGTGCGGAACTTGAGGAGTTTGCTCAGGGTGGAATACATACGGGGGAGAAAAAGGCTGTTGCGGAGGCTGGAATTAATCTGGCACGCATGAACCGTTCCATCTCCTCCAGCCGGGCTTTTGTGGCCTCATCTGCTTTCCGCTGCTCCTCCCATCGCCGTTCGTGCTCCTCCAGTTCACGCTGCAATGTAGCAATACGAGGAACTTCTCCCCGCCTTGACCGAGAAGAGGTAGCGCCGGTGCTTCGATCATACAAAATCCGTTGCCCCTCGGCCCCCAAGCATGGAACCCGGCCCTTGTAAACCCCGGCCGCCTCAATGGCCGCCTCATCATCCGCATCGGAATCGAGGTCGTCCTCTTGGTTCAGGCCTCGCGCCGCACGCTGCCTGTCAACGGATTCATTGTACTTCGTCTGCATTTTCAAAAAATATTTTTTAAATGCTACATACTTAGATTTGAAATGTTACTAAATAACAAAATATGATGTTTCATACTTCGAAGTCAGCGAGGCGGGGTGGCAGATCGGCTTCAGATTCCTCGCCGTGCTTCGTCCAGCAATGCTTGACGAGCCGAAGAACACCAACCCTCTTCTTCTCAGGACCAGCCTAAATGGTGTGAAAAAGACTTAAGTAAATTTTTTATAATGAAGGATTGTGATGGTGTAAGGTTTTTTGAATAGCACTTACAAGAGTTTCTTTATGGGCATTCTGAGATTTGCGACCCCCGTGCCACTGCATCTCCAAGGCCTTCTCGGACATCCGGTTTTTCTTACCGGATTCACTTCTGGCCAAGAATTTCGGATCAGAAGATCAGTGGCGACAAAGGTTGGATCACACTTCATCCGAAACCCATTTAGGCTTTTTCGCACTTTTTCGGGCACGCTTAAAAGTGGCGCGAAGCCAGGTCGAAATCCTAGCATTATAGGCTCTAAGAATATCGGCACCGTTTGCGTGAGTCCAACGATAGCGAGCCTTTATTAAAACAAATTGGATTAATTAATGACTAGGTATATATTAGGCCAATACAATTAGGGAGGGAACATTCATTTATTTTTACCTTGAACAGGTTCCACCATAGTTCGCGGACCTTGGGGTCAACATCCGAGTACGTGGCCCAAGTGCCAAGAAAGTGTCCTCCGATTATGTTTTTGATGCCTTTGAACACTTCATCGTCACTTAAAAAAATTAATAGTATTTATTTATATAGATTTGGTTAGATTATTTAACATTATATAAAATTATTGAAAATAAGGTTTCTTCATAACTACTTACAAAACAACTTCTGCAGGGGTCACCCAAACAGCTCCTTCGTTGTTGCGCTCCGCTTCGGACATGGGCGCATAGTTAGGGCGGGGAGCCGAGGTCGATTGTTCGTTGCTCATCTAAAATATATTAATTTATTTTGTTTTTTGTTAGAACGCTTGTAATAGAAGATCAAATTTTTATGTAAGTATTATCAATTGTCAATGTATATAACATATTAAACTGGGTATAGGTTTAATATCAGGGTCCAATAATTGCTAATAAACAAATACTATAATTATCAAGGAGTTGACACAGTCGACCGAAAAATCAACCGGTTGGAGCTTATCAATGAGTTGACCTAGTCGATTCATTGATAAACTCCATCCTGACGATTCTTCGGGCTACGCCTTGAACCATGGATGGGCTACATCACATGTAGCGACATAATGTCAGTACATGCGCTTGGCAGAGTCCATCGATGACTCAAGCCGTAGCCAGAAGAATCGACAGATTGGAGCTTATCTAAGAATTGACTAGGTCAACTCATTGACAAGCTCCAACTGATCGATTCTTCGATCGACTGGGTCAACTCTTTGATAAATTATAGGATGAGTTTATTAGAAATTATTGAACCACTCATATTAAACTTATACACAGTTCATTAAATTTTTATAGGGAAAAATAATAAAAATACCCCAAACTTTGAAGGGGTGTGACATGAACACCACAAACATGCATATGTAATTTAAATATCCCAAACTTTATATAAAGTTTGGGATGTTTAAATTACTTATGCAAGTTTGGGGTGCTTACCTCACACCCTTTCAAAGTTTGGGGTATTTTTATTATTTTTCACTATAAAAATTTATACAAGTATTATCAATTGAAAGTGTGTATAACATATTAAACTATCTATTAGTTTAGTATGAGGGGTCCATATTTTTTCATAATAAGTTCTTCTATAATTTGGTAATAAATTGCCCTTGGAGGTAACATGTTAAACTTTTTGCAAAGTTTACATGAGAGGAGATCATTTTTTTATGTTTTAGATATATCAGTTTAATATTTTATACACATTTACAATTGTAAGTAACATGTTAAACTTTTTGCAAAGTTTACATGAGAGGCCATCTTTTTTTTTTATGTTTTAGATACATGAGTTTTATACAATTTTTATAAACAGTTTTACAAAATTATAAAAAACAGTATACTTTTTTTTCAAAAACAGTTTATAAAAAAAGTTTTTATACACTTTTTAAATAAAAAACAGTTTTTATACAAACCGTTTTCTAGAAAAACAGTATAGTTTGAGTTTATACAAAAAATGGATTTTATAATGTCTAAATAACAGTTTTATACTTTTTTAATTAAATTACAAAAACAGATTATATAACACAGTTTTTATATAAACAGTTTTTACAATAAACAGATTTTAAACAGTTTTTTCAATAAACAGTTTTTATATAAACAGATTTTAATTAAATTACAATAACAGTTTTTAAGTAAACTAAATTTTCATTTAAAACTGTTTTTATAAAAACTGCAGTTTTTATAAAAACTGTTTTTACAAAATCTGTTTTTATATAAAACAGTTTTTATAAAAACAGTTTTTATAAAAACAGTTTTTATTAAAACTGTTTTTATAAAAACAGTTTTTATAAAAACTGTTTTATTTATTAAACAGTTTTTTATAAAAACTGTTTATTTACCATTTGCTTATATCCAGATTTAAAAAAACTGTTTTGTTCTTTTTTAAATAATTATAAAAACAGTTCGTATCCAATTTTTACTTTTTATATTTATAAAAACTGTTTATAAAAACTGTTTATAGAAACTGTTTATAAAAATTTGTAAAATTATAAAAACTGTTTATAAAATAATTTGTATACTTTTTATAAAAATTGTTTATAGAAATTTGTCAGCACGTTGGCATTGATCTGTCCAAAAAACGATACAATTATAATTAAACATGTTAAGTTTGTGAAAGCTTAACATGAGGGGGCATTTTTTTTAAAAATATTTCGGGTTAAAGCATGAAAAACAGAAACATTGTATAACCATAGAGAGGCATGCATATCAAACACTAATCATATATATTAAATATTATTAATCATGCATATCAACATATATTACACATATAATAATCTAAATCATTTAAACATAATTATCATGCATACAAAACATATAAATCATGCATATGAAACATATAAACTAAAACAAGTTATATTAAACATATAAAACATCTAACCAACTAAATTATATTAAACATGTATACCAACTAAAGAACATGTATTTCTTGAAATTTATTTTCGAAATGTATTAAACATGTATTCATAAATTATATTTCGAATATATACTATTAAACATGTTATATTAAAATTTAATATTAAACATGGATTTCGAAAATTATATTTCAAATATTAAAGAACATTATAATTCGAATAAATATCATGTAAATAATCATGCATTTGAGTATATTTCAACGAAAGAGCATGCACTTTAATAATGGAACATAGTTATATA